GTCTTACTTTTGTGGATCAAACATGTTCGATAACATAAAGCACTGCGTTGCTATTGGGGGAGCAGCTTGAGGAGGTGGTTGTGGTGTAGACATAACTGGAGCCATATTTAACGCGTTTGCAGCCGCAGGAGGAATTTCAAGTCCAGTTCCTTCCGCTAGTTTAAACATTAATTGTAACCTGAAAGTTATCAACAGTAATTATTTATAATTATGATGGTTGAAATATGAAAGTATAAAAATTGCAGATAACCCTATTACCTTCCAGTGGCGCCAAGGTCGATACCACTTCGATCTAGTTCATCTGTGTCGAGAAGAGATGGGCCTTGTATTAAATCTGTACGTTCTGTGACATTGCCAACTTTCATAGGTCTTCCAGCAAGTTCAAAACCATTCAGTTGTTCTAAAGCTTTCTTAGCGTCATCGGCATTTCTGAACTGTAATCAAACAAATGAACCCTTAAGAAATGAAACAATAACTCGCACGTAATAAGTAACTAATAATACATACGGTTAAAAAACCGTAGCCTTTGCTTCGTCCAGTTTCTGGATCCATGATTAGTTGAATGTTGTCAATCTTTCCAAACGGTTCGAAAATCCCACGAAGCATGTCTTCAGTGATATTGAAGTGAAGAGACCCAACGTATAATCTCATGGGACCTGTTTGTCCTTTTGGCATTAAATTCGGCATGGAATTGCCCATACGATTCTTTTCCGCTTGTGTATGTTGCACTACAATAGGAACACCAAGGAGTTTCTGACCCGATAAACCAAGCGCCTAAGAAGAGAAGGAATGAAAACAATGAATAATAGATATAACGTTATAATATAATGTTATATATAACTCACCAGTGTGACGCTTTCAGGATCCTTAAACTCAACGTATGCTATACCCTTGAATCTTCTTGTCTTGTTGCATGTGATAAGTCTGACATCTTGAACCTTGCCAACACTGGAGAAAAATTCTTCTAGATCACGAGCGCGTATACGTTGACTCAATTGCATACAGAACACCGTTCGGGCGTCTCGTTCTTCTGGTGTCAACTCATCGTTCCTACTGAAATGGATAATATAATATACGTACTGACTGAAGTCTCGCAATGTGAAAATATGTACGTGCAACAATAAATTGCTAATTCTCGATTAAGTGAAAAATACAGTAGTGCAAACTTACATGCCAAGGGGACTGACACCCTTTCCAAAAGGCATCCTCGCTCTGGGAAGCGTAATAGGCGTGAGCGATCGTTTTCTTCTTCTGTCTCGATCCCGATCCCTGTCCCGTCGATCTCTATCTCTGTCGCCATCTCTGTCTCGATCGCGGTCTCTTCTGTCCCTTGATCTTGATCTACGTCGACGGTCCCGATCGCGATCACGATCACGATCTCTGTCCCGATCGCGATCTCGATCTCTGTCTCTATCGCGGTCACGATCACGCCGATCTTTCTCGCGGCGATCTCTCGAACGAGAACGGGAACGAGAGCGATGTTTACTCTTCCTACAAGAAATAAGATTAAATAATGCGAATTAAAACATTAATATCAATTAAACTTTGTGACTGTTATGTTTTGCGGTATGCTATAGATATTAGAATAAATAATGTATAATAGATCTTATTATCGTTTTAAACCAATATCATTTCTTTACTAATTAATGCATTTCAACTTACTTTAGCCGAACCCTTAGTAATATTTCTCTGAACGCGTATCTTCCATAGCATTATTATTGATAATAATAATAATAGTTAAAGGAATTGATACAATAATACGGCAAATAGCTAAGATCTATGTGACATCAAATGTTACTGCTTTACTTTACTTTCTTGATCATTATAACGGTTATAAATGCTCTGTATTACAGTTCAGATTTTCAGTCGAATCTGTAGTACAAGTATTCTTCCTAAACACTTACCATCGTCAGGTTTAACCTTTGGAATTATGAAAATAACCAGCATTTACACTAATTGTATGGGGTCTATAACAAAGAGAATAACTTCAAACAGCTATATGCATGTTCACTCAAGTTACTAATTTGAAATTCTTCATAGCAATGGAATATATACATACATACATACATACATACATACATACATACATACATACATATATATATATATATATTTATCAATCTATAACGCTAAAGGTTCAGACGAAGTAGTTTATTTATGGATTTGTGCGCTTAATCTTATAAATCTTATAAAAGATACATACATATACATGATAGATAGTAAGAGTGAATTTCAATCTATTTTTAATGCATTGATAAATGCTGAAGATGTTAATCATGGTAGCGAACATAAACTGTTAATTAAATCGTTTGTAATACATCAGATTTACATACCCAGATGATTTACGGCTAGACCCATTCTCCTTGGAGGATTTGTCTTTGGATGAGGAGTCCTGCTCCTACGAACAGCAAACAGTTGAATGCCATGCCAGCCAGTCGATGTGGCAGGGACGCGCGAACAAGGGGACAAAAAGCAAATCAGAAAACGTTAGTAAATTTTGTAAAAACGAATCGTATACATATTTTGTACAATTTAAATTTTGACAGTAGCTTCAAAAATAAAATATATCAATAACGAATTTCTGTCTTTTATTAATTTAATCTTTTTTTCTTTTCTCTCTTTTCTTTTTTTTTTTTTCTAACAACCATGTAGACAACTCTCCTTTTGAACGCTATGTTATCGAAGATTTTGCTGCTGGATGGTGGGCGCACTCTCGTGCTCTTTCTCTTTTTCCATGTAAATCATATCGGTCTGAGAGGAGCTGAGATGGGGGGGACACAGAGAAGAAACAGAGAGAGAGAGAGAGAGAGAGAGAGAGAGAGAGAGAGAGAGAGAGACAGACAGACAGAGAGAGTGACAGAGTGTGACGGGGCGAGCATAGTGTTGCGACGCCTCGCATACACCTGGCTCAAACTTACCAATCGTTTTATCGGGTTTTAGGAAAGCATTGCAATCTTGGGTTGAGCATGCCTTGGTCTTAAACTACCAATGGCCAACCACACATCCTTTTTCTTCTGCAAAAGAGAGCCCTCATCAAAGACAGTACGTTTTTAATGTAACACGAGATGTGAACCCTACTTGCTAGCCTACAGCTCCTGCATGTAATATATTGACTTAACTATATCTCGTAATACGAACAAAACGATCAATGATCATTTGCTGCTTCCAGTAGGTATATCTCACGAGATGATTTAGCTGGATAGAGAAAATGTTTCAGATGACATCATACGCGTGGCCTGTACGTCAGGCTCGAAGACCAAAACCGCTCAATGAGCGAAAAGAAGGACCAAAACGCGTTCGGGTCGCCTGTTTTGCTCATTGAGCACTTTTTCCTCAACGTTAACATATGTATGATACGTCATGGAATGAAACAATGATAATGAGATTATATGTACGTGTTACTGATGATTTCTCAATCTACCTATGATATAATTAACTGTCTAAACATTGACCATAATCTTTGTACAAATTTTTTACACGACTTCAAAACATTTTCTCATTTACGTCCTGCTTGCCAATTTACCATGCATTTTCGTTGTAATGCACTGCTGTACCCCTACTCACGTATGTCGATATACTCTCAAAATTTGAAGTAATACAGGTAATGTTATTATTGATGAAAATTTAAGAAGAATCGGAAAGGAAAGATATCATAAATGTATCGATTGACAACATATTGATTGCAGTATAGCTAAAAACAAACCTCTAGTCCAGAAAATAAACTAATCGTAAATATATGTAATTACACATTTTAAAAATATGTTCAATTGTACGTGTCCCTGCGTAAATAGAGTTCTCAGTATGACATTAGTATCCATTTCATTACGGATAAAAATACATAAATTTCTTAAGTTTACATAGTTGTACAATGTATAATTCTTCCAATAGAGAAGCTGCACATGTACATAACATTCCTATGAAATAAATGAAAACAAAGCCAATGTATAAAGTATGTTAGAAATCTTTCATCATCGATGAAGAACTCTATTGTTTCATTCAACAATGCAAAAATTAAGCATGGAGATTGTGCGTTCCTACTGTAAAAAATATTGTATTGTCAGATCAGGTTGATTTTAAGCACAAAATACATTCTCTGTACTTATACAAATTACTCCGATGTAGTTTCACTTTCACGCATTTGCGTAACGTAAAAATCAATAGAACAGCATGGCACATGGCAGAACAGCATCTAACACAAGTCTATCTATCACCTTTCTTTCATTTTTCCTCTGTTACTCAAATAAGTCAATAGAAATAGTAGACCCATTTTATCTATGTATTTTTTCTTCATTTTTATGTCTCTATAATCACAAAATAGTGACAATTGCAATTCTATCTACATCGTAAATAATAAACGTTACATTTTTTGAGCAAAAAAAATTAGAAATGAAGAAAGAAAAAAAGAATTAAGTAAAAATGATGTTAGTGATGACTTTTCTTAATACCTCGTATTTCAAGTGCATTCTAGGAACTCGCTGCTGAACATCCTACGAGCGCGAGGGTACATGTTACGTACCATCTATAAGTACAGAAAACGGAGGTATTGATCAATAGTCGGTATGAGTACAAGGACGTACTTTGTTCTACATGTATATAGGGTGGAAGGAAAGGACGATTCATTGTTTTTTCTCTCGAACGCAACGCGAAAAACATATACCCAGCACGACACTGCACCGTAATTATATTCTCGTGCGTCGAGACGTTGTTCAGGTAGATGTTACAGGATAAAAAAAAGTCAGGATCTCGAAGGAACAAACCGAGACGTATGCAGAGAAAGATAGAAAAGAAATTAAGCCTTACCCCTTTCTTATATGGCGCCTCCAGCATTGCCTCCACATCTAAATCCTCCGCCATTGCGCGAGTTGGTGAGCTTTCTGAAATACCACGCATTTAGCACTCGATAATCGATTACGATGGTTCGAAATGAATTGTCTATGGAAATATATTGTATAACGTACAGGCTAACTATCGGTCGCACACGATTTAAACGTTTAAAAATTGCTGAAAATGCAAGATCGATAACAAACGTGCTTGAACGAGAACGTAATCGTACACGACAATGAGAGAAAGAAAATGGCGAACCGGATATGACTTCGGTAAACGAACTGAACGCCACCTTTACAGAAAGTTCTTTGTATAGTTCCGGTCTGCCAGATTTCCCCGCACGATTATCTTCGAATTTTCCCTATATAAACTATTCCCAATATTTTATTAGAAATTATATTTTATTTAATACTACATACGGTTTTATATGCTTTAATCATACGTGTAGTTCCAATTAGAATTTATATCAAATTGAAGTGATGTCAAGATGAAAATTAATTTATTTTGTTACAGGGGGACGATCTAGTGATATTGTATAAATATTTTCAAAATATATGTTATTTAAAAATGTATATACATACGTACAGTATTCTGTTTTTAAATATTTTTCTTAATTAAAATATCAAAAATTGAATTTATGCGAATCCTATCGTAAGTATTTTAAAATCTTATTGCTCTTCGAATTGAAACGCACCTTCCCAGAATCGCATTTAACCACGATTTAACTCTGTCCTAAAAACATACATATTAAATTACACACACACACACACAC